ACCATAATTTAATAAACAAAATAATCTTTAAAACAATCATGTGCCAAGTACATCTCAAAAGCTGCAAAATATGGAAGCCGATGAGTTGTGCAACTCTGAAATCAATCGATACAATCAATTAAATCAATATCATATTACCGAGACTATAAATCACATTGTAGCAACTATTATCAGCAAGATAACACAGAATACGTTGTACCGCTGGAACCGCCGACTCGTCCGTCCGCTGATAACTTTCAACCTGAAGTTAAATGAAAGCCTAAATCTTACCGAGGTCCCACAAATAAACCAGAAAACTTAATTCCCACGCATGTATCTTTAAATATGACTATTTTAAATGAACTCCACAATTTCTTCCGAGCATAATTTTAAAATCTTGATAAATTTCGAAGAAACGATTTAGCACATAAAAATGCTATCCAGTTGTATTTGTTACCATCCATTAATTGTTCGTGAGGAATAGGTGACGAAAATATAGGGAAATAATTCCTTAAATATTGCTTACATTTCGGTTGATCAACAGACTAATTTCTAGGGCTAATTCATATTTTTCCTTGGGACAATTATCCTGGTAGATTAGTGTTTATATTTCAATCATTTATGTTCACTTGACCAGAGTTTTATAGTGAAATACGGTCCAGTACTTCCGTGCTTACGTTTCAAATTCTAAGCAATTTTTTTTTCTTGCCTCATCGACAAACACCTGATTTGCTCTGGCGTCTACGGCAGTGCTGCCAGGTTAAGAAAAGTCGTAATTTAAGTCGCATTATTTAGTTGTTATTACTAATCTTGTAAATACTCACTTCGTAATAAATAGTCTCCTTAAAAATATTCCTTTTATCAATAAAGAATTAATTTAATCCGATAGCAGCATAAATATTTGCATATTTTCTTTAAATGAATAATTCGTTCGCAAAACAAATTCATACCGCTAATATCATTGGGCGTATGACTTTATGCACGAAGTTCCGTGATTTCTCTCCTTTTCTCCATCTCTCTCGAATATCTGAGGAAGTACTCTCTATGGCAAGGAATTCTTATTCAGTAATACTCCAACTATACCAATTTTAACAATGTTTCATTACACGGTGTTTGAAATATTGAAATATCAAAATTTATTGACGTCGGCATACTGTTTCCTTTGTAAAAGTTTGCCATGGAGAAGCGAACATTCGACTGTCAAGTTCATTCGCTAATTTATATTTTAATTTTGATTACATTATACCTTTCGAATACTAAGATTTATTAACTTTGTTGTTTTCAGATGATACTTTAAAATGAATATCTCTTGAAAAGTCTTTTTTAACAATATTTTTGGACTTTGTGTAATTAAAATTTCTATTTGTTATTTACAAGGTTTACCTATTTTTTTAAATCATTAAAACCTTTGGTCATTGGTCTAGTTACTTCTAGGTAGTCCTGAATACGAATCTGTAGTCATTTTCAATTTGAAAAAATCTCTAAAAGAACTTCTCGATTTTTCGCATCGGTTAGCCATGACTTTAGTCGATGCTATATGATGATGCTATCTCTTGTAAAGGCTTTAGCAGTTCTCTCAAATACACGTATTTTGGCTGTTACGGGGATTTGGAATATAAGTCAATGTTTTCAAATCTATTTGCATTCCAGGATGGTCGACCAAATATGACGTTGGTTTTACCCGAATTTAAGTGCCCTGTTGCAATTACCTCTAAAGTGATGGGGGTGCTTTTGAAATTCGCAGCTCGAACTCTTTGCATCGTCGTTTTTTACGGGCAAAGAAAAGGCTTGCTTTTTTACTCACATTTCGACTGAGACATTAACAGGAACCTGCAAAAGTATTTATAGCATAATACCTAAATATTTAGAAACACTATTTCCTAACGCTCTGATTATTGTACATCGAAACGGGTCGAAAGGTTCAGGATTGGTAAATAAACTTATAAACAAACTTACTATCGAACTGCATAGTAATAGTGGTCGCCTATTCAGCGAATTGGGTACCCATTTACAAAAAAGAATAAATAAAGGTGATTCTGGTATAAATACCATAGAAGCTGCTTGTAAAGAGCACGATATAGCATATTCTCAGTCTAACGATTTAACGAGGAGACACGAACCACACAAGATCTTAAAGGATAAGACTTGGCAAAGGAATAAAGCAAAAGCACTCTTCGTTTGGAGAAAATTCAGCATTTCAGAGGCGTTTTTATGCGTGATAATCTGCAGCAAAAAAATCAAATTAAAGAATGCGGAATTTTTTTTAACTGAACGGGGAATTGACTGGGTGAGCTATATAAAATACAAAACTAAGGCTTTCTTCATATATTACATTTATTCAACCAAAAAAAGTCCAGTTCTTACAAATGCGGGCATTTATCAGTGATAGATTCATAATATCCACTACCCGGCTTTAATACGAACCAGCAACGATTTAGACGCGGTGGAAAATTCCAAAATTTATGACAAATAATGCCGAAGAACTTGCTCTAACGAAAATCATGGAGTCTAATAAAGAGATAATAATGGATCTTGGGAAATTATTGAAACCACAACTCGTACGTGGTCCGTAGAAACAAAAAATAAACTAAAGACGCAAATCATTATCCACGATAATAGGAAAGGTCAAGTAGAAAAGTAGAAAAAAATTTGATGACGTCAATTTAACTAATATAAAAGTATTTTTAAATTCGGAACCATTTTAAAAGAAAAAACAAGTATTCGACTCTAGTTGATATGGTTGCTAATTTTTGGCACTCTTATTACGGAACATCGAACGAGGCAATTTTCACACGTAGCAAAGAAAAATGTCCCATTACACACATCGATGGTTCTCATCAAAATGGTTTTGTAGTAATGCGAATTGAATTTGAAACTAGCGCTAATATCCAAAAGGATACATCGGTTTACTGTCTCATTTTACATGACGAAGTATTTAGTTAGAATCCGCTAACTGAAATAGTAAAACAAATTCAACGGTTTTTAAAAAGATTCGCAAATTATATGTTCAAAAAATTTGCCACAAAATATTCGGCGAAACAGTACATTTTTGGCGGTTGTCATCACGCGGATAGTGGCGTTTGATATTCAAGGTTTTAATCTAAAGGACGCTGTAGGTTTCGTCGCTAAAGAGATTGCAATTTATGACGGAAATCTACTTACTTACTTACAAGCCGCAGAGAGCGAAGCGTATATTGCGTACCTTGGCTCAAGCGTTTTCACCACGGATTAAAATACCTTATAAATACCTTTTAGATATAGATATACCTTATCCACGAATTGATTACGCGGTTGGTTCACACTGCGCACCTAAAAGGGCAAGCAAAAACAGATTTTTTACTTCGAAGATCGAACAACTACAGGTATCCCGACCTTTGATTGTTAATATGTGTGCACCTTCCATATGAACGGTAGATTACACCTGTGTGCCTTACGAAAATCTGTATTATTATTTCATTGATTATGTGCTCAAATTCCTATATGAAAAAACAATAAAAAGGTATGCTTTCAAAATTTGCAATTTTATGTCGACCGGCATATGTAAAACAGACTAACGCAAAGCGAGCAAATAAGCAACGTTGATGAACTTCGGGCGTGATATCATACGACTCGCTGGTTATGTGGCATAGGTTATTTAATAAGCAGGAAAACAATTTAAACCTGCCTCAACAAAATAAATGTCCGCTTTGATTTAGTGTTATAAAAATAAGAACATTAAATTAAATCGTCTCAGTTAAGTGCTCAAAATGTTTTATTAACAGCGTACGTTTGTTTTAAAAATGACGTTTGGTCGGAAGAATGGAGTTGGCTGTATCCCATTATCTCGGCGAATGGCAAAGATTGCTTTCAATAGTAGCAGCTACCGCAGCGATAATTCCAAAAAGTATTAATTCTACTGTGTCTAGTGACGGGTACACCTTCGCAAGAAGGGATCGATCTGTATAAATTTTTGGCGTATAGTCCAAAACTCCTAAATCAACCGTGACTCAAAAAGTGTACTCAACTCAGCAAAAAAAAGGAAATGTCTACTGGCGTTATTAGGATCAAGGAAAACATGCTGTTTGAAATTTCCAACACTGGTGCTCGTTTCACCGGCAGGGACAAATACATGGATTTTCAAGTAGAAGAATTTTCGGATTTTCTAAATTTCCTGAACAAAAGAGAAGGTATTGAAAAACTTATGTCAATCAGGCATCGTCTTTTTGACTCTATGAATTTATACTGAGACGTAAATATATAATCAATAAATCAATAAATTTTATTTGTAACCCGTATATACCGGTCTATTATTTGTTTCTAGCTGACAGCAAAACGATTAGATGTTTACGCCGCTTCCTTAATTCTTTAGCTCTTATATTTCTTGAGAAATTTAACCAAACCTTCCAACAAGTGTGTCAAAATGACAAATAACTAGAATAGGAAATTAATCAAATAGGTCTAAATGTTTAAAAATCAGATTATAGAGAGATTTCAATGTTTAATAAAGATGTATTGGTATAGGTCATTAACAAATATGAAGTTCTAATAATTTTACAAGATTTCGAAAATTCGAGTTTCTCAAAATTAAAAATTATTGACCCTATTATAAATAAAATTAAAGACTTATTTAACGCACTTTCTATTTTGCAAACTAAAGTAGGAAAAGAACGTATATATAGCTGCAACTTTAGAAAACACTTCTATTTTTGAAAAAGTAATTAAGGTTGATTGTTTTATTTTGAATAATAAAATGAATTACCCTGCCAAACACCTGTTCAATTTTTACGCAACAATCTTCTTTGGATTAAAATAGAGCTGTTTAAATTTAAATGCCATTACTGATTGGTTCACATTCTTCCGAATAGCTTTTCCAGCAGCAAAATTAAATTGCACTTCTTCCCGCCGTTCTAGAAACGTTTTATATTTCATTGAATTTATTGTAGGCCATGCCGATGAAATTTCGAATTTCACATGGCAAAACGTACGTTTTTTAGGCTACAATCCTTGGAGGACAATAAACGGGCGTCAACGAGTACCCTTCGATGGCGGGGCTGGTAAATCTGAACCCTTTCATCATAATTTGCGGGGCTAGCATAATCTCTGAATTTTTCGTGTTGACCGCCGGTCATTGCGTCTACAATAGAGATCGCAGCACGTTTTCGGTTTTAGTGGGCGGGCACAACATCACTTCAGGTAATGCAATATCGTCAGTTTCACGTAAAATCTCGCGCGTATTGCGATCAAAATACAAAGTATCGATTTGTCTATAGGGATCGATATTTCGATATCCGCTTAGTGGGTTTCATTCGACAAACATTAAGTAAACGTCGTTGCTACTCCCTCTCCTCTACTCCCGAATTCTACTTTTCTCTTTCTACTCTTTCTACTCCCGAATCCAAATTATACCGGGTGTGCGGGAAAGTCTCTGAGATTTAGATAAGGCACGAAAAAAATTTTTTTTCTATAGGCGCAACCTACGGAGCTATGACTCTCAAATGGACACCACCGAATTTTTTTATTAAAAAAAATAAAACCACAAATTCAATTTTTCCAAATTGTGTTTTCCTCGTGGTTTATAGTTCTTCCCGCCATATTTATTTTTTTATAATGATGGCCTTATGCATTTTTGATTTACCCTGTATCATAAGTCTAGCTAACTGCATTAAATTTAATGTTAATAACGAGGATCGTAGATACTTACACTAAAGTGGATTTCATCTGTTTCGGGATAGTAACTAGTCAAATCTGTTTTAAGTGGTCAATTTTATTATCCATATCCAGAATTTTAAATCAATAAAATGTTAAAATTTTTTGAATAAAACTAAATTCAAGTTTACAATTACAATTGCAATATTTAACGTTGTATTTAAAATATGAAAAGCTCAATTTCTTAAGAACTATTAATTGCCTCGTTTATTTAAAGCTATACCAAGTGCCCAAAAAGTATGAAAAAAACACCTAACAAGACCCTCATTCCATAAACACGGTGATAGAGGGAGAGCAACTTTGACATCTCATTTTTCTTTTGTTTCTCGGTTAATGGCACTGTATTAGCAAAAAAGGCGATTTATCGTATTTGTCAAAAATCCGACTTTATTGTTAGCTTCAACATGGTTTTCCACTCCCTAATCCAAAATGTCTAATTATGCACTTATTCATTTATAAATTAAATGAAATGTCAAAGGGGGTATATACCATTTTTGATATATTAACATTTTGTGTAAGAATTGTAGTACCTGTCGTTCTGCATGTCTTGAGAAAAGAAATATGTGCCTATTGTAATAATTTAGTAACCTACTTTTTGTCTTATTGTTACGAACACCGGCAATTATAACCATTGTAAATTTAAACAGTTTTTAAATCTACCGAAAACAATTTGATCGTTCGCGATCTAGAGAAATGCAAACGTTCGAATTGACCCGCGACAGTGTTTAATGAAGCTGACATTTTAAAGTGACACTTTGGTAACGAATGATGAATGCATAATTGGGATTTTAGAGAATTTCTTGACAAACATGATAGATAAATGGCCTGGAGGTTACAGCACGAGCTACCGAGAATTCAGAATCAAATTTCGGGCAAAACCTGATATTTTTATGGCACAGAATCCGAATCTGTACTGATTTTATGATTTTAAATTGAATGACAACGTAGTTAGGAGCGGCTTAAATGGCAGCATTAAGTTGTTATTAAACCTTTTCTTTCCTTCTCAAATATCTTGCGACCGTATTTATGTTTAATCTGTATATTTAAATCTTGAATTATCTTATTGTTTTTGTTGTTGCCTTTATTTTTATTATTATGCGAAACAAATATTAAAAAGTGCGAGATAAAATTAGGATATTGAACGACCGACCTATATTTATAAGAATAATTTGCCTTTTAGGAACCACCCCTTATTCGAAGATTTATAATGTTAACACCTACGTTATCTTCCCCAACTGCAGTCTAATTAATACGGTGATAGATGACATCGCGATCATTAAAACTCAAAACCAAATAGTGTTTAGTTTATATATCGGTCCCATATGCTTACCATTTCGGTACAAAACCTCCGATTTCGTTGGTCAACTTGTTACGGCATTGGGTAAGTTTCTACAATCAAAAACGCTGTAGTTTAGATCTAAAAAATTTGGAAGTGACTTTAAAAGTATTGTTTTTGGAATTATTAAAAATGTTGTTTCTCTCCAAGTCATTTTCCGAAAAATATTTTAGTATCATAGTAAACAATGCCTAGATGAACATGATCAATTTAAAATATTTTATAAATGGATTGATAACCAGAATACGTGAAAAATCTAATATTGGTATGGTCACTTTTCACGTAGAACTTGACATGTTCGACCAACGTTTTTGGGGATATTAAGAGGCGGTTGAGGTTAATAATCCCATAGAATTTAGTTTTATTTTCTTTGTTTTCTATTTTCAGTTTTTCTTTGCTCACGTTATATACGGATATTTTGTAGTACCTCTATGAATAAGTAACTTTGTATCTCGTTTTACGTTTGTTACTGTATTAGGATGGGGTAGCCTGAACGTTTCCGATAGCCAATCGGACGTGCTAAGGAAGACAAGTCTCACTGTAATTTCAAACCAGCAGTGCGCCCGGGACCAGACTGAGAATATCAACAACAATCATATATGTACATTTACTCTGAGACATCGCGAGTGCGCTGGTGATTCTGGAGGCCCGTTGCTGTGGATGGATCCGAGCACTCAAAGGTTGCATCTTATCGGGATCATATCCCACGGGCTCGACTGCAATATCGACAGTCCCTCAATTAACACCAGGGTTACTTCGTATTTGGATTGGATCGTTGCCAGAACTGGTATGTAAATTGCTGATGTGTATGATACGGAAACCGTACTTAATTCATTCGTAAAATTGAGGCTTAGCTAAAGTCTGACATTATTATTAAAATGGAAACCTTTATAATATTATAAAACCATTTTGGTTAGTTATTAGACCTCTTACAAAAGTAAAAAAAAAATATTAAAAAAGTTAAGGTTTCTGCGAGAAGTGTTAATTAATTAATGTAATTAATATATTTGTGTCTGAATATTAAGAAAACCTTCATTGTCCAATGCACCTGAATAAATTGTAAAAATTTCTAGGACAAGCCAATTTGTAATTTTTATGTACATTTGCAAGTTACTTTTAAACTTTATTTTGAAAATTTTGTTTTGATTGTGATGTTTATTCGTGCTAATAATTATTTTTCAAAGAAACTTCCGCAGGATGCTCGTGGCTTCTTTAGAGCATTGTCTGAAACTGATTTGATGATTGTTCTGCACGCACCTTAAATACCGGCCTGGTCGAATGGTAGGGAGAGTTTTAATTGCTTCGCGGATGACACCTGTACCGCGGTTTATATTATTGGGCTGTTTAATTATTGCGATAAATTCACAATTTTTTCTTGAATAAAAGAGAGGGTTAGAGGCAAGTATTTGGTATTGTCGCATAAAACGAGGCTTCCTGTTTCGTGACGATGTTCAGAAACCGCTGATGTAATTATTTCTCGAATTCTGAGTGATCTCTGGTATTTTTTAGTCTGCTTGATATTTTTAGATCTGTTTCTTCGATTAAGTCTTTGCCGCAGTTTCACGGTATGCTGTCTCATGCAAAATTTTACCTTTAACCGATCGCAGAGATCGGGAGATTATAGGACAAGAAATCGCTGACATTTTTAAAATATTTCAATGGCAAACGGGAGTTGCATTCCGTAAGTGGTTTTGTTGAAGTGTATTTTTTAATAGGCCGTCTGATATCTTGATAATGGAAATTGTTGGTGAGAAGAACTGAATTGAACATGGATGATTTTTACGTTTTTTACGTATCGATCCGTATGAGTCGGTTTTCTATAGACGAAATGGCCCAAGGTTAAAGCTGGTTTTCGATTAATAAAAACGTCTATAAAGTGAAGGGTGTTGTTATTTTCGAATTCGATTTTGAAATTGATGTTTGTATGTATGGAGGTTAGATAGTTCGTCCACATTTTATTTTTATGTGTAACTTATCAGTGCCTAGTTTTTCAAAATGTAACACAAAATATTTGTGATGCATGGGAAATCGCGGATCCGATGTTCCTAATATTTGTTCGTAAATTTGTTTGTTACATCCCAAATCTATTTTTTTTATTAATATGAGAAATTCTGCAGGGAGGTTTTCGGGAGAGATTTAACTTGGAAACTAACTATAATGTCGTCTGCATTTAACTTAATACTTTTTAGTTGTTGAATAGAATGATAAAAATGAGGTACAAAGCTAAGACTTTTTCCAAGGCAGAGTCAACACGATACAAGACAGTAGATGTGCATCTACAAGTAAATATTTTCTTTATATTTCACGAGGCAGCTTTTCTCGAAGAACTTGAACAAATTACACCTTTTTACTTAAAAAAGTTTTCGAATTGGTTTTCTTTACATTGATGCACCAAACATGAAAAGAGTTTTAATAATTTAAATAAATTCAGTGGCAATTGACAATAACTTCGACATTCCTTTGTAGTAATTTCATTTGTGAATGTAGCACTGCGAAATGTTTATATTTTTTGGAAAAAAAATTAGACAAGATGGGAAGACCTGTAAAGTGATTGATGTTGGGAAAATCACTAGGTCCACGTCTCAAGAGATCTTTGCAATTTTTTTGATACATTTAAATACCGATTTTCATAAAATCGTCATATTTCTACAGCAACGCAATATATTAAAGAGGTAACAAAGACGTCCCGAGATAATGACATGTAGTCTTCCAGCACATCAAATTCGTTGTTATGAAATGGAACTTTTTCCCTGACATTCACACCCATTTAACTAGAGAGGGGTATAGCGATAAAAAATCCAACAACATTGACGCATAGAAAAATAACGTGTTGCTTTTAGCGCCACTAGCTGAAAATCCAAAGGAATAGTATTTTCAATGCAAATCAACTGCCATTAAGAAGTTTTATTTATTTTCATAGTTATTTTATTGTTATACTGCGTCTTCTTTCTTTTTCAGGTGTAAATTTTTGTACCCACTAGGGGCGCCTTTACAGAAGTGTGCAACATTATTATTTTATATATAATAATAATATTCGGTTAAACATATTTGTGTCACCGTAGAATCAATATATATTTATATATAAATATATATAAACTTTTTTGATTTTAATCGTCAATAGGCCACGAGTAGAAGAAAATGTTCGGGTAGAGTTCCCAAGATACTGTGAAATTTAATATACTCATGACTTTGGGTTCGATACAAGCAGAACACCTATTAACGACATTGAAAGGTACATTTTATAATCAACGTCCCCGCTATGGACTATTATACACGTGGTGTCTGGTCAGAAAATTATAAATATAAAGGTTTAAAATGCAAGAATTGTCACGAGTTCCTGTCCAGCTTTAAAACAAACGAAAACTAAAATGGTTTTTTCTCGTCAGAGAGCATTCTGAATTATTCCTTTTGGCTTAACTCGGTAAGCTCCGTTGGTCGACAAAACATAATCGCTTGATTTGACGCTTCAAAGTGTTATTTAATAGTTCAACCAACTCATACATTTTAGCTGTTATATTGGATCTTGTTTCTTAACTATATTTTGTTGATTTAAAATATTTCATATTTAGTTGAAATATTTATGCCCCAGTATGTTCTACAGAAAAATAATAACTATAAAAGGATTACAAAAGCGGTGTTAAAATTTGTCAAGAAAGAGTTTAAAAAGGACTCTGGAAAGTTTAAACAGTTTTTGAGAATGTCTAATCACACTTTTGTTAATGTGCTGAGTCGTATGAAGGCCCAGATGGAGAAAACAAAGTTTCGAAATGCGTTAATGAATATTTTTTATTTCTAGTTCAATTTCGGCAATAAATTTGTGAAGCACTTGATGAATTTGTTTACTAATATTTCGTATCGTAATTGTGCATTATACTTATCAAATTTGTTTATAGACCCACTTCTTAAATTAATTCTTGAATCAGTTCAACGTTCAAGTAGTCTAAAAATTATTTTTTTAGTTATTTGGAATACAATAGATTAGAGTAAAGCTTAAGTCGTATGCTTAATCATTAGAATAAATGGTCTTACTATCACCATTAATTGGTGACAAAGTACTTAAACCAATATTTTTGAGTTTTTTAATTTAACTTTCTCAAACGGAACTGATGATTGCAATTCAAACAAGCTTTGTATACGCCCGACAATCTAGGCACATGCCAATACAGGCATTTCTGGCACATATTCTCTTGCTAGTGGGTTCGTCTTTGTCTATATTGACGAAGCTTGCGGATAGTGATTTTGATGGAACTGGTGACTTCACTTTTGATTTTCTGGGTCTTTGTGGCCAAACATGTTGTTGACCCATGATTACTACTTCCAATTCCATTTATTGTTTTTCTGTTCTGTCCCTGTATTGCCTCAGTCGTGATACAAAAGTTGATTAGTTTTGGTTAGTTTTTCTAATAATGTTTTGTCTTATAGCAGTCAGCTCATAATGATGCTGATTTTAACCCACATTTCGTGATTATTATTTTATCATTATTATTATGTTCTCTTCCTGTATTCCCTCAGTAGTGATAAAAAATTGATTAGTTTTTATTACTTCTTCTAATAATGTTTTGTCTTCTTATAGCGGCCTAACTTACAATGACGCTGACCTTAACCCACATATTTGTAGTTTTTTTGATGCGATGAACAGCCAAAGCCAAAACTTAAATTGCAAGTTGCAAAAAACTACAAATAGTTTATGCGACATGTTCCACGCGATGATAACAGAAAATAAAGTATGGTGACAGAAGAGTTGAAAAGATGTTTGTACTAAAACTTTTCTCATTTTGGTCGCAGCGTCATTTTAATAAAATCTGTGGCGTGTTTATTAGCTATCTTGAAAGTGTCTTTGAAAAAGCCAGCACAAGTACCAGAGTTATTAGTTCAAAACCGCAACAATATTTTCAAATACAGAAAATTCATGGAAGTAATTGAAAAGAAAGTTAAATCACTTGATACGAAAAAGAATCCAGGATCGAATAGAGTCCCTTTTCTGTTTACAAAGTCTTGTCCAAGTTTGACAAAACTGTTTTTCATCATTTTTACGAATTGTCTTCAACAACTTCAAAAATTATACCGATTTTGAAATCTGGCCTGAGAAAATGAAGTAACAAATTATCGTCCAATATCAATTTTAAATTATTTTCTTAAAATATTTGAATCTGTAATATTGGATGAGCTTTTTTTGGTTAGTTTCACCTATGTGTTTCAAAGTTAATAGAAAAGAGTGGGGTTCTAATTAATTGCACAAAAACCTCTTCTCTAATTTCGACAAAATTTGGCAAGCTCATTTGGCATCGGAAGGGTCTTTATTTTATGCAATTGACATAATATTTTCAATTTCAGTGGAGTCCTACAATTGATTGATTTTAGATCTATAAATCAGGATCAGTCAGATTAGTTTAATGACAAAATGAGTTACTTTTCGAATTTTAATAGACCGTGAAACAATTTAATGATTTTTTTAGTCCAGATAAACAATGTTCATTATTTAATAATTTTTTTTTTAATCGTTGGCGTATCGAATAAGTTAACTGGAGCAGTCGGTAGGATAATCAAAATAGTCGATCGATCGTTGATCGTTTCTCGTGCTGGCATTTCAAAAACTGAGTATCCGTGAATGTTTATTCCGAATCTCTGTGGTGATTTGGGGAATTGTCACTATATCGGGCGAAATTCGTGAGGACTAGCTGCTTTGGAAAAGACAAAATCGCTATTCGAGAAGTAAGACCTTATAGAAAGAAATAGCAACATTGTTCTGGTAGTAATCTAAGTTAAACAAATAAAATTGTAAACATTTTGTAAAT